TGTTGTAGCGGGTTTTCAGGTTGGAGCATTTGTGAGGGTACACTACAAGATGGCGTTAATATATATATATTATATATATATATATATTATATATATATATATATATATATATATATATATATATATATTTAAGAATGAACTATCTGCCATAAGCGGAAACCCTACGACTTTGTAAAGAAAAAAAAAGGAAGAGGAACTAGAACGAGAGGAAGGAGAAGAAAAAGATGGAGAAAGGAAAAAAGAAAAGGAAAAGGGATAAAGAGAAAAAGAAGAAGCAGATGGAAGTAAAGAGAAATCAGGAGAAGAAAGCGCAACAAGAATAAAAGATCAAAGGAAATAAAAAGATAGAGAAAGGAAAGAGAAAAAGAAGAAGCAGATGGACGAAAAGAACAGAAGAAGAAAGAGCAACAAGAATAAATGAGCACAGAGGTAGGCCTACCTCGTTGAGCTTGGTCTGCAGGTCGCACAGCTGGATCTCGAAGTTGGTCTTCTGGTCGACGAGCTCGTTCTTGATCTTGGTGCCCTCGAGGCGGGAGTCGGCCAGCTTGTCCTCGAGTTCCGTGATCTGTGACTGCAGTTCCTGGGTCTCGATCAAGTGCTGTTGCGCCTGTGAGAGGGAGAGGCGGTGTCGCACGGAGGCGTTAGTCTAGAGAGAAAAGCCTTGAGAGCGAGGAAAGAAATTTGGAAAAAAGGGAAGAACTCTCAGCTGGTTGTGAAATGTGAAGTGAGGGCGGGTCACGTTTATTGCAGGGGATGCTTATCGGAATGACACTAGGGCTGGAAAGCTCCAACTATAGAGGTGCCCCGGAGATTACCCAGTTGAATTCGTGTTTGTCAGTCTGAGGAATCTATGAGAATCCCACGGGGTATGTGTGTATGTGGACAAGAACTAGTTTTATGAGTAATTGACAGCTGTGGAGTGAATTAAAATGTTCCTTTTTATTGTGTGTGAAACGACTAGAATTAATAGTTTACGGTGAGGTTAGAAACGAGTGTTATTGTAAAAAAATGAAATCTGCAGTTGGAGCTTTTAATTTTTTGTCATAAAATTCAGCTTTGCATTTTTATTTAATTTTTCGACATCCCATTAAGTTTACCGATTTCCGAAGTTCTGATTAAAGCTTATGCACAAGCTTCTCTATGTTACTGTTGACTCTAAAGATGATCTCAGGTTAAGTAAGATCATGAGCAGTTCAGGAGCTGCTGTTCTGGTGATTAGTGTCACTAAGCAAAGTTGTTTAAGACTAAGCAGGGCTGTCAAGAGTACAAGGAGGTTCAACCTCGTTAGTGACACTTCATATGACATTTTACTGACACCGAAGCTCAGACAGGACAGCCGCCGAGTGGCCACGGGCGTGGGCGCTCGGGCGGGCCGGCGGAGAGACGAGGCCAGGAAAGGTCACTGGAACCCTTAGTGGCGGCGGCGAGAAGCGATTGCATGGCTATCTGAGTCAACTAACAAACAGCTTAAGTTCTAAAGGCAGAGTGCGAGGTTTAGTGCCTTCAAGTGTCCATGCCCAAGAGCCCGTTCTGTGGTGGTGACACATGACACCCTCTGACAGCATAGGTCGAATATTGCCTTTATTTTATATTTTGAAACTCAAAACACATGAGTTGTTTTCTTATGATGCAATACGAATGACACAGACACTTGACGGGCACATAACAGCGCAGGGGGTCAAGTTTTGCCTTATGCTCGTTTGTGCATTTTTTTATCTTTTTTTTGTCTTTACTTTTACCTTGAGGTCGGCCACACGCTGGACCGCCGCGATCTATGAGTAAAAGTTTGGTTACTGACCCTCGACTGACAAAGGTTTAAGTGCTGACGAAATCCACAATACTTTTTTTAAGCAAAAAAAAGACTCTGGGAATAACGTTTCCTCTCTGATCACATGATTCAAAAGACTTTCATGAGTTGTGGACTTCGCGAGACTTTCTTTACAACAGTCAGAATCTAGTGTTAAGTTTTCTCTTCTTTAAATATAGCAAATAGAACCTACAATACTCCTGCGGTAGCGAAAACAGAAAGCCATCACTTGTACAAAACACTCCTTATCATTCTGTTATTGGGTCTGATCTAGAGATAAGACGAAGACGCATCTAACTATCAAAGGATAAACTCGATGAACACAAGGAGCTAATCTGCCACAAAGAACTAAGAAGTATAACACTGAAAGGAGATACTTAAAGTGAATCTAACTTGAAGAAAAAGTGACTAAGTAAATGTATGGATTCTTAAGCTCTCGTTATAAGCAGAAAAGAGACACAAATTACTGAAAAAAGGTGGTTTGAAAGACTAAAAAGAAAGTATAAGAAAAAAGAAAAAAAATATACTGCAGACCCAGTAGAGACAATTATTTTGTCCTTTGCAAACTATCTGCATATTTAATATAAACAATCTAACAACCTACTTTCAGGTACCAATCATAAAAATAACAGCATATAAGAACCCGCATTTTCAAAAAAATTAAACTGTTTTCTGATAATTACACAGGAGGAA